ATAGACAGAATATTTGAAAAAAAAAAAAAAAAAAAGGAAAAGAAAATTATATATCTGCTTTATGTCTTTTAGAAGGAGCGATACATAGTTATCAGCAAAGTAGATGAAGAAGAACGCAAAAGAAGAGAGCAGGAGAAACATGCCAAAGAACAGGTAATTGGGCTATGTTAGTTCTTGGGGGGTGAGAAATGGCAACATAAATATTGATTTATTCCTGTCTAGTTCAGATCATATGTTGGATTCAATTTAATGAATAATTTTCTTTTATAGAACAATTGAATTGGCAGAAAAACCTGGACTAGAATAAGGGGAAGTTAGGTTTAAGCATGAGACATAGCCAGCAAAGTGAGTCTGACGTCACTGTTGACCAGTGTCTACTTAAACCAGTCCTGAAGAAAGTATTCTTGATTCTCATTTAGCTTGTGTGTCACTGCCCTTTAATACTGCCACGTCTAACTTCATGTATAGTTACTAGTTTTCCTTAAACCAAGTTCAGAGCACATGATCTGACAGATGAGGATGACATGCTTAGGTTGTGCCATTGGAACATCATCCTGCTTGCTATGTGAAGAATGGTTTTGAGTGAGTAAGACCGGAGGCAGGAGACCAGTTAAGCTGTGGAGTAACCTAGCTAGGAGATGTTGGTGACCTGGCGTAGGATAGTAAGTAGCAGTGTAGATGGGATCTGGAGATATTTGGAAGGTAGAATCCATGGAATTTATGACTGGATGTGGGTGGTGGAGGAGGAAGGGGGAAGGAGGAAAATGCTTATGCCAGACATTTGCACAGTGGAGTAGATTGTGTTCCGTTCACTTGGAGGAGCTGGCTGGAGTGACATTGGTCGGGGGAAAGGTGGAGGAGAGAGGAGTAGGTTTGCATGTGGATGAATGTCATGCTCATACGTACATTAGGCGGGGTCACTCCTGATTGACTCAACCAGTAAAGATACAACGACCCACTTTGGGAGACAGCATATTACCTGTACAGAGAAAGATGAGCAAAAGGTGCTGCCTGTGGTCCCTGTCCCCCATACTAAAAAGGAAAACGCAGAAACAAAAGGTGCCAGTTAGAAGCCAGGTACGGTGGCTCATGCCTATAATCTCAGCACTACTTTGGGAGGCTGAGGCGGGAGGATCACTTTGAGCTCGGTAGTTCGAGACCAGTCTGAGCAACATAGTGAAACCCCATCTCTACAAAAATACAAAAATCATCCAGGTGTGGTGATATGCACCTGTGGTCCTAGCTACTTGGGAGGCTGATGCTGGAGAATTGCTTGAACCCAGGAGGTAGAGGTTGCAGTTGCAGTGAGTTAAGTTTATGCTGCTGTACTCCAGCTTGGGTGACAGAGTGAGACCTTGTCTTAAAAAAAAAAGAAAAGGTGCGAGATGATTGCAGTGTGTGTTGTGTGATGTGACTTCACTGAGGAACCAGTTCTAGGCCACAGCTCAGGGCTTTGGTATTCTGCAGCTCTCTTCTGAGAAGACAAGGCAGAGAGCCTCACAGGTCCTCAGAATCCAGGAGGCGATGAGGAACTGTTTCATGACAGCCTCCCAGGAGTGACAGGCAAGGGGGTGGGAGCTGGCCTCATAGCTGCTCCTTAGAAGCCTGTGCCTCCCACTCTTCCCTCCTGATGTGTTCTGCCAAGATGCAGATGAGTCTGTAGCCAAGACGCAGATTAGCCTTTACCTGCATGACCTGTTTTGATACATGTGAGGCCACCAGGGCACCATGGCGTCCCCTAGAGTGGAAAAAGACGTTCCCCCAGAGTGGAAAAAGATGTTCCATTCTGGTTTTGACCTGATGAGATTTTGGGTGTTTTCAGAACATGCAAGGGTGGATATCCTCTCAGCAGGTTTGTCAGTGTTGAGCACAGAAGAGAGGTGAGGGCTAGGCATGATTGTCATTGGCAGAAAGACTGGGACTGGATCAGAGCAACTGCGGAGTACATGAAGAATGAAAAGAGGATCTGGGACTGAATCCTGAGGATGAACAGCATTTAAATGATAGGCAGAAGTTGACAAAATGTACCAGGAGATTATTGTGGTACACAGCCAAGGGAAGCAGTGTCAGCTCCCATGTAGGGGTTAGGATTGAGACATGGCTGGATTCAGCCCTGGCAGTAGTTTTTTAAACTATAATTAAAACAGTTTTTCCTTATCTCTACTAAAAGAACAAAAAAATTAGCCGGGCGCGGGGGCATGCACCTGCATTCCCAGCTACTCAGGAGGCTGAGGCAGGAGAATTGCTTGAACCTGGGAGGCGGACGTTGCTGTGAGCCGAGATCATGCCACTGCACTCCATCCTGGGCGACAAAGTGAGACTCTGTCTCAAAAACAAAAAACAGAACCAAAAAAGCAATTTTTGTTTGTTTGTTTGAAACGGAGTCTCGCTTGCAGTGACATGATCTTGGCTCACTGCAACCTCCGTCTCCTGAGTTCAAGCGATTCTCCTGCCTCAGCTTCCAGAGTAGCTGGGATTATAAGTGCCCGCCACCGCTCCTGGCTTTTGTATTTTTAGTAGAGATGGGGTTTCGCCATGTTGGCCAGGCAGGTCTTTAACTCTTGACCTCAGGTGGTCTGCTTTCTTCAGCCTCCCAAAGTGCTGGGATTACAGGCGTGAGCCACCATACCTGGCCCAAAAAAACCAATTTTTAATTGTGGTAAGATACACATAACAAAATGTATTATGTTAACTATTAAATGTACAGTTCACTGACATCAAGTACTTTAACATGACTGTGCAATCATCACCACCATCCATCTCCAGAATTCTCTTTATCTTGCAAAACCGAAACTCTGTACTAATCAAGCAACTCACCATCTCCCACCCCAGACACCCGCCCCCCTCGGCAACCACTATTCTACTTTTTGTCATATGAATTTGATCACTCTGAGGACCTCATGTAAGTACAGTATTTGTCCTCCTGTGACTGGCTTATTTCTCTTAGCATAGCATCCTCAAGGTTCCCCATGTTATAGCATGTGTCGGAATTTCCTTCTTTTTTAAGGCTGAATAATATTCCATTGTATGGCTAGACTACATTTTGTTTATCCATTTGTTTATGGACACTTGGGTTGCTTTTGACTATTGTGAATAATGCTTTTGTGAACTCAGGTGTGCAAATACCTATTTGAGTCCCTGCTTTCAATTCTTTGGGGTATATACCCAGAATGGAATTGCTGGGTGATATGGGAATTCTTTTTGGGATGAACCTCCATACTGTTTTCCTTAGCTGCTGCACTGTTTAGCATTTTCATCAACAGCACACAGGTTCCAGTTTCTCTACATCCTTGCAAATACTTGTTAGTCTTGGGGTTAGTTTTTTGTTGTTGGGTTTTTTTTTGTTTTTTTGGGTTTTTTTTTTGAGATGGAATTTTGCTCTTGTTGCCCAGGCTGGAGTGCAATAGCACGATCTCGGCTTACTGCATGCAACCTCCGTCTCCCGGGTTCAAGCGATTCTCCTGCCTCAGCCTGTGGCATAGCTGGGATTACAGGCGTGCACGACCATGTCTGGCTTATTTTTTATTTTTAGTAGAGATGGGGTTTCACCATCTTGGTCAGGCTGGTCTCGAACTCCGGACCCCAAGTGATCCATCTGCCTCTGCCTCCCAAAGTGCTGTGAGCCACCGCGTCTGGCCAGTGTTGGGGTTAGTTTTAAGGAGGTGAGCAATTTCAGTGAGCATGAAGCCAGAGGACTGGGAACACCTGGGAATTAAACTGGAGAAGTCCTTCAACTTAGCTTTGATGAGATAAGTAGAAGGGGCGGTAGTCTGAGAAAGCTTAGAGGAGGGGAGCGTTTTCAAGATAGGAGAGACACTGAGCCAGTTTCAACACTGCTGGAAAGAATATAGAAGAGAAGAAGGTGGGTGGGAGAATTTTGTAAAAATGTATTTTTCAAGGAAAAAAATCAGGAATTATGAAAATGCTTGATTTGATCAGTTAACTGCCAGATGGGTTTCCTCAGAATTGAATGTGTTACTGAGTTTAGCCTGCAGGTGGCGACTTTTTAAGTTAGTGTTTTTAAGATACCTTGAAAGACTTGAAAATGTTAAAGAATTCAGTGAAGTGATGGGTAAATCCTAAGCATTGTTATTTTAGTAACTAATGAATAATTTTCCATTTGTTCATTCTACTTTCTAAAATAGAGGAAAAGTGTGTGCGTAGATCATTTTAGATGCAGATGTTTGGAAAGATAGGCACAAAGCACAGGAAACTAAAGCTATCTAACTTGATACAAAATTTCAGTGTCTTTTTTTCGGGTAGGTTTTTAATTCATTCACATAAGGAATATTTATACATCAGTAATACTTGTATATATTTTTTTTAATTAGGAGGAGCTGAATGATGCTGTGGGGTTTTCTAGAGTCATTCATGCCATTGCTAATTCGGTAAGTGAGCCAGACTTTTTAGCAAGATTGCAGAACATACTATTTCAGGTGAAGTATCTAATTATCATTGCAGATTAATCATTTCATCTCATTTAGAATGTTTACCTGGTATGAAGGAAGAAGTTAGAACTTCATCAAGATAGACTATTGTTATAATGCACTTGGTGAGACATTATTGCTAAATTATATTCAAATCAATTTTCAGAGAGCCTTGCTTGAAAAATGCGTAGGAGGGTTACACTATGTTGTCCTTATATGACTACATGGAAACCCAGTTATTCTCAAAACCAGTAAGAAGTCGAATAAGAAAGTAAGGAATAAGGGGAGAAACAATAGATATTTGACTGAAGGTGTTTTGTTCCCTAAGTAGAAGAATCTAGAGGGTAAAAATAATGATGTCTTTGTTTATGCTGCATAAATGTAATTGAATCTTATTCTTAATAATATTTGATACGTTTTAAAAAGATATTGGCCATTTGTGTAAATGTTCTAGGGGACTCTATGATAGATATGATGGGTGTTTTTCCTTGCTTTGTGAGGCCTTTCTGAAAACAGGTGGCCGGGCATAGTGGCTCATGTCTGTAATCCCAGCACTTTGGGAGGCCGATGCGGGTGGATTGCTTGAGCTCAGGAGTTTGAGACCAGCCTGGGAAACGTGGGGAAACCCCATCTCTACTAAAAATACAAAAATTAGCCAGGTGTGGTGGTACATGCCTGTGGTTCCAGCTACTTGGGAGGCTGAGGTGGGAGGATCACTGGAGCTCGGGAAGTCAAGGCTGCAGTGAGCTGTGATCATGCCATTGCACCCCAGCCTAGGTGACAGACTAAGATCCTGTCTCAAAAAAAAAAAAAAAGAGAAAACAGGCATCCACATCTTGTGCAGGTAAACTGGGTCATGCTGCTGGTTGTTCTAGACAGACAACTTGCTTGGATGCTGAATTGCCTGTAGTCTAGGACATTCTCTTCTTTGAGCACAGCCCTTGGAGAAGGAATCATCTTGTACCTTAGATGCTGAACTTTGCATCAGGGAAGCTTTAAGGCCATAGAAACCCTCTCAAAGTTTCATGCTGTCTCACTACTGGCTGCAGGCTTGTAAACACAGGGGCGCTATAGGGGAGGCCCCCCACTGTCTTCATTCCGGAATAAACAGAGGTTTACAGAGCCTTGTAAAAGAAGAGGGTTGGCTCATGAGGACCTCTCTCGCTCAAGTAAGTGGGGCGATTAAAGTCTAATAGAAAGTTGGATAGATCCAGATAGAAACAAAGCTGTGAGCCTGTTCAGCAGTGGCTGAGATTATAGGTATCCAGAAAAGCAGAATTGAGTTTCTGGTTCCATTTGCTCATGTTGTGCACTCCTTGCTAGCAGACTTCAGATAAGTGATGGTTTTGATTCAGGCGGGCCCTAAAATTCAGAGATACGGAACATCAGTTGGTTTTGAGCTCTTCTGTAGCCATCATGATAATTTAGTCAGCTTTTCCGAGATTGGACATTTGTTTGCCTTACACACATTCAGATACCTTAGCTTGCTGTACCTGTTTTCTTTTCTCTGACATCTTTCTTCTACAGAATATTCATAACATGTTGCTGACCTTTGGTAGTCAACATCCCAAAGCATACTACAAAAAAGCCCTGTTTATTAGCAATCTAGACATTTAAAATTTTTGAGTCTTCAATGAAAGTTGACTAAAATAAGATGCATAAATCCCATACCTTAAATATGTATATTTTTTGAGCTGGAGCCTCACTCTGTTACCCTGCTGGAGTGCAGTGGCGCGATCCTGGCTCACCACAACCTCTGCCTACCAGGTTCAAGCAATTCTCCTGCCTCAGCCTCCCAAGTAGCTGGGATTACGGGTGCCTGCTACCACGCCTGGCTAATTTCTGGTCTTTCACCATGTTGGCCAGGTTGGTCTTGAGCTCCTGACCTCAAGTGATCTGCCTGCCTCAGCCTCCCAAGGTACTGGGTTTACAGGCGTGAGCCACCGTGCCCGGCCCTGTAACTTGGATACTTTTGAATGATATTGTTTGCTGTTTTGTCAGAAGTCCCCCAGTTGGAATTTGTCTCACATTTTCTAATGACTGATCTGAGGATATATGGTTTGGCAAGAATACCACAGAAATGATGGTTCATGATGTTGTTGTTTTTTTTTTTTGAGAGGGAGTGTTGCTTTGTCGCCCAGGCTGGAGTGCAGTCACACGATCTTGGTGTACTGCAAGCTCCGCCTCCTGGGTTCACGCCATTCTTCTGCCTCAGCCTCCTGAGTAGCTGGGACTATGGGCGCCCACCACCACACCTGGCTAATTTTTTGGTATTTTTAGTAGAGACGGGGTTTCACCATGTTAGCCAGGATGGTCTCGGTGTTCTGACCTTGTGATCCACCTGCCTCAGCCTCACAAAGTGCTGGGATTACAGGTGTGAGCCACCACGCCCTGCCCATGATGTTGATCTTGATCGCTTGGTTAAGGTGGTGTCGGCTGGATTTGTGTTCTGTGAAATTAACTTTATAGTTAATAAATTAACTATATCATTAAATTATAGTTAAATTAACTATATAGTTTAATTGACTTTATAGTTTATAAATATCTTAGGGGAGATACTTTGAGACCATGAAAATCCTGTTTTCCCCCAAACTTTGCCTACTAATATTATCGTCTATCAGCATATCTTTCCTGCAGTAGTTATTACTGTGGTGTTATGATGGCAAGTTTCTATTTCCTTCGTCCTTTCTATATTTGTTCTCGGAATTCTTCTATAAAGAAAAAAATGGGCTGGGCATGGTGGCTCAAACCTGTAATCCCAGTACTTTGGGAGACTGAAGCGGGCGGATCACTGGAGGTCAGGAGTTCGACACCAGCCTAACCAACATGGTGAAATCCCATCTCTACTAAAAATACAAAAATTAACTGAGCATGGTGGCACACACCTGTAATCCCAGCTACTTGGGAGGCTGAGGCAGGAGAATCGCTTGAACCTGGGAGGCGGAGGTTGCAGTAACCTGAGATTCCATTGCACTCCAGCCTGGCGACAAAGTTGAGACCCTGTCTCAAAAAAAAAATGGGGGGAAAAGAAAAAAATGTCTTTTTCCCCTGTTTATTTATGTACTTACTTAATTTTGAGACACAGTCTCTCTCTGTTCCCCAAGCTGGGAGTACACTGGGAGTACACTGGCTCACTGCAGCCTCCACCTCCCGGGCTCAAGCGATCCTCCCTCCTTGGCCCCCCAACTAGCTGGGACTAAAGGCATGCGCTACCACATGCGGCTAATTTTTTATATATATTTTTTGTAGAGAGGAGATCTTCCCATGTTGTCCAGACTGGTCTTGAACTCTTAGGCTCAAGCAGTCTCCCCCACCTCACCCTCCCAAAGTGTTTGGGTTATAGGCATGAGCCACCACACCCAGCCCTTTCCCATTTATTTAATTGTTTTTATGTATGTGAGTATGAGCTCAGGGATTTTTTTTATTCTACAGATTATTATCTAGTGTTTTTACTGTTTACTTTGTTGCTTAAATTGTACCACCTTTGACCATTGGAGCTTCTTTGACTTGGCTCCTGTGTCCTTTGAACAAGCACCCTGTCCTTTTCTGAGCATTTCCTTGCTTTCTGGTATTGTAGTTTCTCTGGCTCAGTTGTGGAATGAATGACTTCTCCATGGAGCTTTGGTCCCTTTTAATGGGGAATGAAATTTAGAAACCAAGATCTGGCCCTAGGTTACTGCTGTGATATTATTGCTTCTAAGCCCTCTCACTGGACAGAGCTAAGAAGCATATGTATGTAGACCTAGGCATGTACACACACCGCTATATTTCTGTGTCTCTCTGTGTATGTATGTGTGTGTGGAGCTATATAAATGTGTATGTAGCTGGGCATGGTGGCTCAACCCTGTAATCCCACACTTAGGGAGGTCAAGGCAGGAGGACTGCTTGAGGCCAGTAGTTCAAGACCAGCCTGGGCAATGTGGGAGACCCCGTCTCTACAAAAAATGTAAAAATTGACTGGGTGTGTGTCTGACGCCTGTAATCCCAGCACTTTGAGAGGCCAAGGCGGGCAGATCACGTGAGGTCAGGAGTTTGAGACCAGCCTGGCCAACATGGTGAAACCCCGTCTCTACTAAAAAAAAAAATTAGCCAAGAGTGGTGGCACATGTAATCCCAGCTACTTGGGAGGCTGAGGCAGGAGAATTGCTTGAACCTGGAAGGTGGAGGTTGTAGTGAGCTGAGATTGTGCCACCGCACTCCAACCTGGGCAACAGAGCAAGACTGCATTTCAAAAAAAAAAAAAAAATTAAAAAATTAGCCAAGAGTGGTGGCACATGCCTGTGGTCCCAGCTATAGGGGAGGCTGAGGTGGGAGGATTGCTTGAGCATGGGAGTTTGAGGCTGCAGTGAGCCATGATGGTGCCATTGCACTACAGCCTGGGCAACAGTGAGACCCTATCTCTAAATAAATGTGTGTGTGTGTGCGCGTGCGCATGGGTGTATCCACGCCTTTATACCGATACCTCAGATTCCAGTACAATACCACATGACTTATTTTTAGCTTCCTCTCTTTTCTTATTTGTGCCTTCTTTCTCAACAGTGAGAAATCCAGTTCCTTTTACTTCCATTATGTTTATTTGTTTAAACCTGGTATACACATAAAATAGCTTCAGAGCTACTAACCCATACCTCGCGAGAAGTACATTTATTGATGAGATTATAACACTTATGATTTATGTGCAATTCCTTTTGTTTTTAGCTTTACATTATCTAGTCAAGATGCTCTTTTCCAAGTTAGTTTGTTTCTTCTTAACCTTCAGTGTGATTATGGTAGTCGTTTATAATACAGTTTGGTTCATTTCTTAGTGTTTGCATTCCATTTGGGGTTGCCTACACATCTTTTCTGTGGTTTCAATCAATGCTCATTATTTTAGCTTAGCATAGGTATTCAGAATGTACAACAATACTGAGCCAAAAGGACAGCTTCTCTGTTAGATTTGGGAGATTTTGTGTAGGATTATTTCAGATAATGTGTAGTCCCATGAGTCAAGCAGTGTTACACTGAAGGTCCTTTGGGACATAGTAAAAAGCTCCATCGTGGTAACCTGATTTTTTTTTTTTTTGAGATGGAGTCTGGCTCTGTCACCCAGGCTGGAGTGCAGTGGTACGATCTCAGCTCACTGCAACCTCTGCCTTCTGGGTTCAAGCCATTCTCTTGCCTCAGCCTCCGGAGTAGCTGGGATTACAGGCATCTGCCACCACACCCAGGTAATTTTTTGTGTTTTTATTAGAGACAGGGTTTCGCCATGTTGGGCAGGCTGTTCCCGAACTCCTGACCTCAGGTGATCTGCCTGCCTTGGCCTCCCAAAGTGCTGGGATTACAGGCGTGAGCCACCACGCCTGGCCCCTGATGTTTTATGTTAAAAATGGTGTCAACTGGCTGGCTAAATCTAAGTTGATGTTGCATTTTGGAAGTTTAATTTTTGTCAAAATGGACTAATTTGTTGCACATATAGCATAAGACAGACACACTGTCCATTGCACGAAAAGGGCTGCCAGCGCATATATTGTATTTCAGTTGGCTGAAAGGCAGTGACTTTTAATGGATACATATTTAAGAACATACCCCATGAATTTTGACATAATGATATAGGAAATGCAATTCTGTTTAATATAGTTAGAAATTAGTTTTTTTTACCTTTTAGCATTGGTATGAATGTATCTTTTAAAATAAATGGGTTGTTTTAAAGGATGCAGCCCTAAAATTTGTGTTTAGTTTTGTTCCCAAATTATTTGACAGTTTAAGGGAGTCAATGCTTTCAGATTTTACTGTTTTTTTTTTTTAGACAATGTCTCATTCTGTCACCTAGGCTGGAGTGCAGTGGCACAATCTTGGCTCACTGCAGCTCTGCCTCCTGGGTTCCAGCGATTCTCCTGCCTCAGCCTCCTGGGTAGCTGGGATTACAGGCATGCACCACCACACCTGGCTAATTTTTCTATTTTTAGTAGAGATGGGATTTCGCCGTGTTGGCCGGGCTGGTCTTGAACTGCTGACCTCAGGTGATCCACCCACCTTGACCTCCGAAAGTGCTGGGATAACAATCGTGAGCCACCATGCCCAGCCCAGATTTTACTTTTAAAAAAACTTTTCAATCAAAATTTTACTACTTCTGATGCATGAGGGTGGCATAATTAATAAAAATTCAAGAGAAAGATCAGTGACATCAAAGTCATTTGGAGCTTTCACTTTGCCTTCTGGAGTTAACATTCCAAAATGGAGGAGGAATGAAGCCAGCTCAAATTTGCTTATTTGTACTTTTTTTTTGTTTTTGTTTTCGTTTTTTTTTAGTGTGGAAAGCAAGTTTAGAACAAAGTCCTCTTGGAATCTGAACTGTACATCCTCAAACCCCAGTATAATTTTGAATGTACAAGTCTTTTTTCTAACCTTGACTTTCTTTAGGGAAAACTTGTTATTGGACACAATATGCTCTTGGACGTCATGCACACAGTTCATCAGTTCTACTGCCCTCTGCCTGCGGTAAGTGACCTGTTGGTCTGTGTTAAATATTAGCAGGATGCTTTTTATCCGAAAAAATATTATGATGCTTTTAACTGAGAAACTGTCCTCTACTTGGGTGCCATTTCCTTGTATGCAGCATGTTCCCAGACAGAATCTTATGTGCTTAGTTGCACTTTTTTTTTCCTTGAGACGTACTTTTGCTCTGTTGCCCAGGCTGGAGTGCAGTGGCGCAGTCTTGGCTCACTGCAACCTCCGCCTCTCGAGTTCAAGCGATTCTCCTTCCTCAGCCTCCTGAATAGCTGGGATTACAGGCACCCGTCACCATGTCCAGCGAATTTTTGTATTTTTAGTAGAGATGGGGTTTCACCATGTTGGCCAGGCTGGTCTCGAACCCCTGACCCCATGATCCGCCTGCCTTGGCCTCCCATAGTGCTGGGATTACAGGCGTCAGCCTCTGCGCCTGGCCACAAGCTTTTTTATTAAGGGATCTTCAGTCACTGCCATTGCCAGAGAAAGATTAAACATTTGTTTCATCGTCTTAATGCCAGTAGTTTGCTCATTTAGTGCTGGGCAGGGATTCGCAGGCCACAGGTGTGGGCTGCTAGTTTGGTCCTGCTAAAATTAGACATAGCATGGCCATTGAAGGTAAGTGGTGGCAGCTGAAGTGAGTCCAGTCCTACAGAATTCTTGATCGTCCCTGCTAGGCTGCTTCCCTTAGATTCTCTGCTGACCTCAGTAGTGCTTTTTTCAGTCTTTGAGCCAAGTTGCCTTGGTTGACCAAAGCACAAGCTGCTTTGGTTCCCCTACTGGCTCTCCCTCTTCTGCTGCATACGGTGTGCGTGGCCTCACGTTACTTGTCCCCCGCCACTCTGTGCTCCACTCTCTCTTATTTCCTCTTCATCTTTTTTTGTCTTTTAGTGATCTCACTGACTTTACAGCTTCAGCTGTAGACACCAACATCTTTATCCCCAGCTGTGGTCTCTTTTCAGATCCAGGTGTACATTTCATGCTGGACTCCAGAAATCCCTACCTGGATAGCCCCCAGACTAAGTGTTGTATTGAATTGACTGGCTCAAATGAGATATTTCACTTGTACTTCTTTTCTTTCTTATTGTCTCCAAACCACTTCTTTCTCCTCATCCCATTACCATAAGTGATTCCCAGTTACCAACCCTGTTTTTAGCATCAGTTTTGACTCTAGCTGTCCCCAGATCTGGTCATTTCCAACATCCTGACAATTTTATCTCCATGCCCTCTCTCACATCTGGTTTCTTTTCTTTTTTTCTTTTCTTTTTTTTTTTTTTTTTGAGATGGAGTCTCACTCTTTCACCAGACTGGAGTGCAGTGGCATGATCTCGGCTCACTGCAATGTCCGTCTCCTGGGTTCAAGTGATTCTCCTGCCTCAGCCTCCTGAGTAGCTGGGACTACAGGCGTGCACCACCACACCCTGCTAATTTTTTTGTATTTTTAGTGGAGACAGGGTTTCACCATGTTGGCCAGGATGGTCTAGACCTCCTGGCCTCGTGATCCACCTGCCTTGGCCTCCCAAAGTACTGGGATTACAGGCATGAGCCACCGTGCACGGCCTTCCCCATATCTTTTTAATAAAATAGAGACTAGGTCTTGCTCTGTTGCCCAGGCTGATCTCAAGGTGTTGGGCTCAAGTAGTCCTCCTGCCTCATCCTCCTGAGTAGGTAGAACTATAGGCCTGCACTACCATGCCCAGCTAAAAGATTAATTTTTGTTACTTCTGGATTGGAAGGCACCCGCTTGAGAGTTCAGTCTCACGTATACATCTGCAGACCTTCAGTTACTTCACATTTCTTAGGTCCCGTTGTTCTGTCAGCATTTTGATTACCCTCCTTTAAAAGAGTATAATACAGACCAGTCATGAGTGGGTCAGTTGCTCCCCTTGTATTTCTGAAAATTTAGGTTGTCTTCACTTTTTATGACAGCTCTATCACCTTCTAACACATTTTAGGACTCAAAGACTTCATAGCTGTGGGTCTCAAAACAAGTGTGACAGGTGTGGAATTGCATTTCTTTTCTTTTTTTTTTTTTTGAGACTGAGTTTCGCTCTGTGGCCCAGGCTGGAGTGCAGTGGCGTGATCTCTGCTCACTGCAACCTCCACTTCCTAGATTTAAGTGACTCTCCTGCCTCAGCCTCCTGAGTAGCTGGGATTACAGATGCCTGCTACCATGCCAGGCTAATTTTTGTATGTTTAGTAGAGACAGGGTTTCACCATGTTGGCTTGGCTGGTCATGAACTCCTCATCTCAGGTGATCCACCCGCCTCCGCCTCCCAAAGTTCTGGGATTACAGGTGTGAACCACCGCACCTGGCCCGGATTGACATTTCTTAAGTCTAATGAGCTAATGTTTATTTTATGTCACCCACTACACTTCTGTTTTTTTTTTTCCTCTTTCCCACTTTGTTTTTTTTTTTTTTGAGATGGAGTCTCACTTGGTCACCTAGGCTGGAGTGCAGTGGTGGGATCTCGGCCTCCTGGGTTCAAGTGATTCTTCTGACTCAGCCTCCCGAGTAGCTGGGATTACAGGCACCCGCCACCATGCCTGGCTAATTTTTATGTTTTTAGTAGAGACAGGGTTTCACCATGGTGGCCAGGCTGCTCTTGAGCTCCTGACCTCAGGATCTACCTGCCTCTGCCTCCCAAAGTACTGGGATTACAGGTATGAGCCACTGCGCTAGGCCTGGATTTGCATTTCTTAAGTCTAATGAGCTAATGTTTATTTTATATCACCCCACTTCTGTTTTTTTTTCTTTTCTTTTTTCTTCTCTTTCGTACCTTTTTTTTTAAGATGGAATCTTACTCTGTCACCTAGGCTGGAATGCAGTGGTGCAGTCTCGGCCCACTGCAACTTCCGTCTCCTAGGTTCAAGCGATTCTACTGCCTCAGCCTCCTGAGTAGCTAGAATAAACAGGCGCCTGCCACCATGCCCAGCTAATTTTTGTATTTGTAGTAGAGATGGGATTTCGCCATGTTGGCCAGGCTGGTCTCGAACTCCTGACCTTAGGTGATCTGCCTGCTTGGGCCTCCCAAAGTGCTGCGATTATAGGCGTGAGACATTATGCCCAGCCATTTTTTTTTTTTTTCTTTTCTGGGAGAGTGTCTTGCTCTGTCACCCAGGCCGGAATGCAGTGGCGCGATCATGGCTCACTGTAGCCTCAACTCCCTGGGCTCAAGTGGTACTCCTACCTCAGCCTCTCGAGTAGTTGGGACCACAGGTACATGCCACCACACCTGACTGTTTTGTAAGTTTTGTAGAGACATGATCTCACCATTTGCCCATGCTGGTCTTGAACTCCTGTGCTCAAGAGGTCGGCCCACCTCAGTCTCCCAAAGTGCTAAGATTATAGATGTGAGCTACCGCACCTGGCCAGATCACCCACTTCTTATTGGCCAAGTAAATCAAAGTAGCAGCTCTTCTCTTGACTGTTTAAGCTTTATTATTTATTTAGTTAGTTAGTTAGTTAGTTAGTTAGTTTTGAGACAGAGTCTTGCTCTGTGACCCAGGGTGGAGTGCAGTGGCGCGATCTTGGCTCACCACAACCTCTGCCTACGGATTCAAGCGATTCTCGCCCTTAGCCTCCTAGTAGCTGGATTATAGGCACCTGCCACCATTGCCAGCTTAATTTTTTTTTTTTTTTTTTGAGACAAGTCGTCACTCGTTGCCAGGCGGAGTGCAGCGGCCGGATTCAGCTTCATGCAAGGCTCCGCCTCCGGAGTTCCCCATTCTCCGCTCAGCCTCCCGAGTAAGCCTGGACTACAAGCGCGCCGCCGCCTCGCCCGGCTAGGTTTTGTATTTTTAGTAAGAGACGGGGGTTTCACCGATTAAGCGCCAGGTATGTCTCCGATCTCCTGACCCGTGGATCCGCCTGTCATTGGCCTCCAAAGCTGGGATGTACAGGCGCTTGAGCACACGTTGCCCGGTTGCCCAGCTAATTTTTATATTTTCGGTAGAGCGGAGTTCACCATGTTGGCCAGGCTGGTCTTTGGAACTCCTGATTCAATGATCCACAACCGGCCTTTGGGGGCCTCCCAAAAACTCTGGGAGTACAGGTGTGAGCCACCACGGCCCAGCGTTCAATTTATTTTTTGAGACAGAAGTTTCTTCACTCTGTCGCCAGGGCTGAGTGCAGTGGTGTGAGTTTTTGGCTCACTTGCAACTCCCTCTCCCAGGTCCAAGTATCTTCAATTCTCAGTCTCCCGAGTAGCCTGGTAAAGTCATATGGGCCACCAACATTCTGCTAATTTTGGTATTTTGTTATTTTTTTATAGAGATGGATTTCACCATGCTGCCGCGTCTCAAACTCTGCCTCAAGTGATCCACCCTCTCGCTTCCAAAGTAGCTGGGATTACAGGAATGAGGCCACCATGCCAGCCCTTTTGATCTTTAACAAGAAGTATCAGGGAAGCAAGAAAATGTATTTAATTCTGTTGCTCTAGGGTTTTTGGAATGACTGCAGTAGAGCTTGGCACTAAAAGGGCATAAATATCGATTTAATGAATGAAAGTATCTCCCGGACTGGGCCAGGTTTTGTAATCTTCTTGATGTATGCTCCGTTTCTTGCGCTGAACCTGCTGAAAATTTCTAAAACTTAAATCCCACAACTCTTTTTTTTCTAGGGCAGATTGAGTTTTTTCCCCCTGCATATCAGGCTTTTCGTGTATCCAGCCCCAACCTTTCTTGTGAGTCCCTAATCATACTTGGTTTGGTTCACTATCTCCTTTTTCCAAGGACTGACTTATTTGTTCCGTCTAAAGAGGCTGCTTGTTTAATTTCTTCCACTTGCAATTTTCTTTTGTTGTTCTCCAGTGTTGTTCACAAACTTTCCCTTAACCTCCCCATGGTGCAGCTTTTGGCCATCCTCCGTGAAGTTTGTTTGTGCCTTGCTACCTTGCCCACAAGAGGTGAGTCTTTTCCTTTCCTGAACTCCCATAGAAACATGTACCTCTCTACTGTTACATAAATTTTGTCATTAATTATACAGCATCAACCCCTTCTAGGGGTTAGCTCTTGGACAAAGGGGGTGTAGCCATTTTGTTGTCTGTGTCTAAGTGCCTAACAAACGCATTGAATTAAGCAGTTAATGAACCTGTTAAGTGGAACACGGAAAGTGGTCTGTAATTAAATCTTGCGGTAGAAAGGGAGGCAAGGTAATTTGTTGCTAGAGTATAAGTGGGTTAGGATACGCAGTTTTACCTCCACTTCTATTTACTAAGTGTGCTACACTGGAGGTTAAGTTACTTATACTCTTTAGTTTCTGGCATTGCCAGAAGAGAGAAACATTTTGTTTGTTTCTTCCATTCTACCTTTAGAAGAAGTTTTGGATGAGAATAAATTACGCAACAGTTCTAATAAATTGAAAAGGCTGGGTGTGGGTGGGTGGCCTACCTGCTACTTGAGAGGCTGTTACACGGAGAATTGCTTGAGGTCGGGAGTTCAAGGCTAGTCGTGGGGCAACATAGGAGACCCTGACTCAATAAAAAAGGTAGAACTTTTACATGCACTGGTATCAAAAATTTGCATTTAAAAGGACACTAAACGAATTCCATATTTTGCAGTTGCCTTTAGGGGAGAGTGTTTTCTTATGAACCATCTTGATATTTGAGCATGACCTTTTAGAAGACGCTGGTCTAGAACGTTGGTATAGTTGGCCTTGGAGGTAGCTGTAATTCCCTTGTTCCTTGCTTTAAAGGCTTTCTAGTGGTATTGAGAGATTACAAATTACTTTACAGTTTGACTTTGCATTCAAAAACCGCCTTTCATACTTGTGCCCTTAATTAACCTATAGCCATCGAAGCTTTTCAATGGTAAATATATCAAGCTAGGCTAAATACAGGTCTGTATTTACAGGCTTGAAAAGCTAATGGAGCGGGGGGCGGGTGGCTCACGCCTGTAATCCCAGCACTTTGGGAGGCCGAGGCGGGCGGATCACGAAGTCAGGAGATTGAGACCATCCGGGCTAACACGGTGAAACCCCGTCTCTTACTAAAAATACAAAAAATCAGCCGGGCGTGGTGGCAGCGCCTGTAGTCCCAGCTACTCGGGAGGCGTGAGAGGCAGGAGGAATGGCGTGGACCCCGGGAGGCGGAGCTTGGCATTGAGCCGAGATTGCACCACTGCACCCAGCCTGGGGACAGAGCCAGGGACTCCGTCCTTCAAAAAAAAAAAAAAGCTAATTGGAAACAGCAGTTTCCTATGAGGCATGAATAACATTGAAGAGAAGTGTAGTTTACAAAGGGTCAGGAGTATGACTACTCAGTCTAGCATGGCAATTATGTATGTAAATGAGTTAATTCAAAATTAGAGGACTCTCATTTCAGCTATTAGTGCCTCTTGAGCAATTTTCTGGAGTTGAAACAGGAATCATATGTGTATTGAAAGGCCTGTGTTTCCAAGGCCATTTTTACTAACATTTCAAAGGTGATCTCAGGAAAGGTCTAAGCTAGTTTATAGTATGCCCATTTCCTGTATAAACCATTTAATTTTAGTGACTCTGCTTGTCTCACTGTTATGATAAATTTGTGTGGTAGATCGCAGCCTGTTAGCTATTACTGGAAGTTTTCTGGATTTATTATAGGCCTCTCAAATATGTAGTTTTTAACATTTTATTGGAACCCCCCCACCTCTTCCCAATTTCAACTATTAAATGCTTAAATTTGTTGTTTTGGTTATGCAGAAGTTAGTTATCAGGTTATATGGTTCCCAATGAGTGAGGAAATTGGGAAGGTTTTTTTTTTTTTTTTTAGTACTTGTTAACTAGAAATGGGTTTTGTAGTTTAACTTAAGGGCTCCAACAGCTTGTTTGAGAAGACAGCTATGGAACTTGAGCTGTTTACATGTTTTTTAATACTGCAAGTGTATTAGGAAAATTGTAACAAGTCCTTCTCTTGTTCTTTAGGACTTAAGTGAGTTTAAAGAGATGACAACATGTGTTTTCCCCAGGTAAGCTTTCTTTGAGGATTTGTCTTTCATTTAAAAGAGTCAACTGGGCACAGTGGCTCACACCTATAATCCCACCCCTTTGGGAGACTGAGGTGGGAGGATCACTTGAGCCTAGGAGTTCAGAAGCAGCCTGGGCAACATAGTGAAACCACATCTCTACAAAAAATAAAAAATTAGCTGGGTGTGGTGGGATATGTGTGGTCCAGCTACTCAGGAGGCTGAGGTGAGTAAATTGCTTGAACCCAGGAGGTCCAGGCTGCAGTGAGCCATAATAGTGCCACTGTACTCCAGCCTGGGTGACAGAGTGAAATCCTGTCTCAAAAAAAAAAAAAAAAAAAGTCATTGTGACATACATACACAATGCAAATAGGTATATAGTAATTTGTTAAAACCATTAGATCATGTTCATATAAGCCTGGAGCTTACTTAATAGCTGCAATGTTGTGATGGCTTGCTTTTTATAATTTATGATTGGTTTTGTTATCGAAAAATCACAGTTTGAACTGAGAGTGAAAGTAGACAGAGACTCCTTTTTTCTTATCCCTCATCTTGCTTTCTGAAGAACTGGTGAAGCCTCCTTGAGATGGCTCTCGTCTGTCTTGCTTGTAGGATGTACCTTGTAACTATTGAAGTGTCCAATTGAGAGTGTTCAAGAGTCAGTCAAGTACTGTCTGTCTGGCTAGAGATTTTTTTTTTTCATCCACTTCAAGTCAGTGCCTTTTCCTGTTGGTGTTTTCCACAGTTAGTATTGCACCCTTGTTCTGATAGGTCACATGTCACATATGTCTCAGACATCACAGGTCAGCCATGTGGAGCTTACAGAACAAGTGTTTGTGTTTTAGGACCTGTTTGAAGAGGGATAGGCATGGTGTTCGAGCAGTTTCTCTTTCAGCTGGGCTTATTTCTGTCTTGTTACCCACTCTGTTCACATTTATATGAAAAAAAAAAATAGAAAAATAGAGTTTTTGTGTGGGTTTCTCCCCACCCTCCCCTTTTGGTATTTCTGATCTCTGGAACAGAATAAGAAATAAAAACAACAGCATGAAACTACTTATTGCAGATTTTGGCCCTCCAGAAGAATTTATAGTTTACAAACCTGAGGAGTAGGAGTAGATGGTAGCAGTTTGGGAATGGCAGACCGGCAGCAGTATTTGAACCACGTAAAACCATATGGGAGTATTTGACTCACCCTTGAGTTCACCGGGCTCTCTCGGGATCCAGGTGAATCTAGAACTTGTACTCCAAGTGTGGACTCTCCTGCAGTTGCTCAATGAAGTTGCTGATGATGGGACTGAGTACCTACTCCAATGTAGCAGGGATGCTGGTGCTAGGTTCAAAATGACTGATGTGTTTAATTCCTTTGTCTGTGTTTAAGTATTTTATGTATTAAATATTTTATGTTTTAAGTATGTATTTTATGTATTAAGTATTTTAAGTAGCTTACATGTGTGAGTAAAAGACATTTTAAACATTGATACACATTTTGTTTACCTTGTTAAAAATTCTTTTTAGACTCTTGGATACTAAATTGATGGCCAGCACACAACCTTTTAAGGTATTATTCATTTGCTACTTTATAAAGTGACTGCATATTACTGAGTGAAATAAGTGCCAGAACAATATTGCCTTCTGGCAGAAGGTTTGGAGGTATTTAATGCATCTGTAAAGATCTTCATTCATTTGGTTATACTTTGTATATTATAAAAATTAAACTAGCTGCTTCTCTTTCACATTGGAAAAAAACGAAGACTTCTGTGTTTCTTTAAAGAACACGAGGCAGTACTAGATGCTGTCTTTTCTTTGGGGGGGTGTTAGTGAATCTCTTTAATATATTGTACTTAGATGATGAAATCTCATAATTCTTTGCTTCCTGGTTTGCAGGATATCATTAACAACACATCCCTTGCGGAATTGGAAAAGCGTTTAAAAGAGACACCTTTCAGCCCTCCTAAAGTTGGTGAGAATATTAAACAAACGTATATTGTAGAAGAAAAGCAGAATGGCTCTGGAAACCGTATTGTTCATTTATAGATTTTGGCTGAATTCACTTGGACATGTCTTGTGTAGAATTACTGTTTTTTGAATAAAGATGGTCTTTTAATTCTACATCTATTTTATGTTAATGGAGTTGAATAGCCATTCTTTGAGAATTTTAACAATTAAAGCTTCAAGGCTTTTATTTCCTAATGTATGGAATTCTCCTAAAACTTGATGTGCCCTTCTATTCTTTCATACATTATTTAAGCAGAGACAAAGAGCTAGTGATTAATCACCAGGGGTAGAGTAAAAAATATATTTTCCATCTCAGAAAAGCCCAACAACTGGATTTACAGATGAGATTAAGGCAAGTCCCCACCCTGCCTCCTTATCAGCTGGTTTCAGAGTGGAAACAGGAGCACTGAGGAAAACCAGAAGTAGGGAGATGAGATGGTGGTGTTTTGCCACCTCTAGCCACCACCAAGGTGTGTGGAGAGCCTTCCAGGTGCTACTTCCTTGGTCCCTGTTAACCTGATTGTGTTGCTGATACGGTGATTAGCAAGCCATTACCTATAGCCTGAAAACTGCTAAAGACATGGATAATAGGACTAATGGTTTAGAAATTGATAATGTGAGGTATTAAAGCAGCCAAGATTACAGTTATTTGCCTCTTTCTGGGTAATAGTCCAAGAAAGGAATTAAGAAAAGTGGTGGTGGGGCCATTGGGGGAGAAAACCTAGACCTTTTTTATAACAATATAATGGAAATAATTGATTTTGGAAAGAACGTGTCTCTGTTGATGATGGAGCGGAAGATATTACTTAGGTGGCTACCACGTGAAAAGGCTTTTTTTTAAAGGCATCAAGTCTAATATTTAATATGGAGTTAAAGAATTCTTACTTAAAGAGCATTGTATTGACATAAAAACAGTTACAGTCTTTTCATTGTTAATTTCCATTTATGCTTTTTATTTCTGTGTTGTAGTAACCTTCATTTCCAGAATGGTTCTAGGATATAATTATTTATGAGTTAAAGTTTTAACTTATTTTTTCCATATGAAATAGTGGCATCTGGTAGAAAATTCAGTCTAAAGCAGGTCATTCCTCTTAGAGTTTATCTGGTCACATCTGTATTTATCAATGTCACAAAAGAACCATATTATATATAAAGTGGTCTTTGCTGTAAAGTGGCTCCATGATCCAAGGCCAGCATTATAGCAAGTTCAGTTTATTTTTGGAGTTGGTTATGCTGTCACCTTTTGATCTCTAAGCTTAGGAACATAGTAGAGGATAGTAGTGAGTTGGAGCTGTCGATATTGAATTGCAGTCTTCTGTTTTTTGGGGGGAGGGTTACCTCAGGTATTGATAGATAACAGTTTTTGAGCACTTACTGTGTACCAAGCACTAGGTAAGAGTTTAACTTATACTATCTCATCGGATCCTAACAATAACCTTTTGAAGAAGATTTGATTATCATCTCCATTTTACAAAACTGGAAGCTGAGAGATGAAGTGACTTGCCCAACGTCATACAGCAAATAAGTGGCGGAGCAGAGGTTCGAACTCAGTGTGACTCCAGAGCCTGTGCTCTTAATCTTTACTCTGAATCGTCTGTTGTGTCCTGATGTGACCATCTTGTATAAGGGAAGAATATCCTTTTCATGGCCTTAGAAAGCAAGCAAAAGAGGAATAATTGTCCTAGAGCAAGTTATGGATGATCATAAATAGCACCCACCAGTGTGGGATGAGAAAGCCCACAGCTGAGTCCTTCGTAATGTAACTGAGGCGTTTCTGTATCCTAGATCAAAGTCCTCCTTTTCAGTGACTCTGTTATCTTATATTTTAAGGTCTCATATGGAGAGAATTAAGAAACAGATAGCTTTTTTTCTGCCTATTTAGGATATTTCTCTAGCATATACTAATGCAATTTGGATTGGTAGGGCAGTGTGCTTACTAGTGTTTGTTTTGAGGAAAACTTTTTCCTTTTTTTCTTAGAAAGTGCCGAAGGTTTTCCAAGTTATGACACAGCCTCTGAACAACTCCACGAGGCAGGCTACGATGCCTACATCACAGGGCTGTGCTTCATCTCCATGGCCAATTACCTAGGTATGCATTGCATGTGTTTCAGTCAAACACGCAGTGATCTAGGGTGGATCTTACCTGTCTCCTGGCTTAGGCTGCTGTAATAAATTACCGTAGACTGTGGGGCTTAAACAACAGGCATTTATTTCTCATGTTCTGGAGGCTGGGAAGTCCGAGACCCAGTTGCCAGCAGACCTAGTGTCTGGTGAGAGCCCATTTCCTGGTTTGCAGATGGCTGCCTTCTTATGTCCTTACATGGTGGAGAGCCGAGAGAGCAGAAGCTGTGCCAACTCTTCTTTAAGAGTCAGGGTCTCACTCTGTCACCCAGGCTGGAAGTACAGTGATACAATCGTAGCTTACTGCAACCCTGAACTCCTGGGCTCAAGAGATCCTCCCACCTTAGCCTCCCAAGTAGCCAGGATTACAGGTGTGCATCACCATGCCCGGCTAACTTTTTAATTTTTTTATAGAGACAGGGACTTGCTATGTTAACCAGGCTGGTCTAGAATTTCTGGGCTCAAGTGATCTTCCTACCTCAGCCTCCCAAAGTGCTGGAATTACAGGCTTGAGCCACTACACCCGGCCTCCTGACCTTTCTTATAAGGGCAGTAATTCCCTCATGACCTAATCACTTCCCAAAGGTCTCACTTCCAAACACCATCATATTGGGGATTAGGCTTCAACATACGAATTTTAGGGGGACACAGACATCGAACCTATAGCACTACCATTTCCTTGGGATCCACTCATCCAGGTAGAAGTGGGAGGGTTTTGAGGTAGGATTGGGAGGAGATAAGGGGAGGGGGAAATCTGCAAGAAAAACCACTGACACTTCCTGTGGTACGGTACTTGGTCCATAAGAATATCTTTCACAGGCCAGGTGCGGCGGCTCATGCCTGTAATCCCAGCACTTTGGGAAGCGGAGGTGGGTGGATCACCTGAGGTTAGGAGTTTGAGACCAGCGTGACCAATGTGGAGAAACCCTGTCTTCACTAAAAATACAAAATTAGCCAGGCATGGTGGCGCATATCTGTAATCCTTGGTACTCAGGAGGCTGAGGCAGGAGAATCACTTGAACCCGGGAGGCGGAAGTTGCAGTGAGCCGAGATCACGCCATTGCACTCCAGCCTGGGCAACGAGTGAAACTCCCACTCAAAAAAAAAAAAGAGAATACCTTTCACCTTTGTTGAACCATGCTGTTAATTTAAATCTGTTTTGGTCTGAACTTTCAGGCGTTGTCTATGTGACTATGAATAATAATGCCTCTCTTCTTTTCTTCATTAGGTTCTTTTCTCAGCCCTCCAAAAATTCATGTGTCTGCCAGATCAAAACTCATCGAACCTTTTTTTAACAAGTAAGTAATCAGAGAGTTCCAGTTCCCAAGTTCTGTCATTGTCGAACAGCCTCATATTTTGGGATGTCAGTTTGGAGTTACTGGGAGCTATAGCACATTTTTAGATAAAATATTTTTCATCTTGAGTGACTCAGATGTTTTTTGAAAGTAGAAATTGACCTTTTGGGGAACAAATGTATTAAAAATATAGGCTTAAAAAAAAAAAGAGAGAACATTGCTAGATGTACTGCATCTCTTCCAAGGAAAAGAACTGGTAGTTCTGGCATTTAAATTTCCTATGAGGGACTGGGCGCGGTGGCTCACGCCTGTAATCCCAGCACTTTGGGAGGTTCAGGTGGGCAGATCACTTGAGGTCAGGAGTTCGAGGCCAACCTGGCCATATGGTGAAACCTCGTCTCTATTAAAAATACAAAAATTAGCCAGGTGTGGTGGCGAGTGCCTGTAATCCCAGCTACTTGGGAGGCTGAGGTGGGAGAATTGCTTCAACCGGGGAGGCAGAGGTTGCAGTGAGCTGAGATTGCGCCACTGCACTCCAGCCTGGGCAAAAGAGCAAAACTCTGTCTCAAAAAAAAAAAAAAAATTTCCTATGAAGTTGATGTTTATGTATGGTGCCACCCAACCCCTAACAAATTTGACAGGTGAGATGATTATTTATGCTTGCATTATTATCTGATTGAATAATATTGTGTCTAAGAAGTTGTTGGTTCTATAAATGGTTTTTAAGAAATCTGTGAAGTTTTGGCCTGGGCGCCGTGGCTCATGCCTGTAATCCCAGCAGTTTGGGAGGCCAAGGTTCGCGGATCACTTGAGGCCAAGAATTTGAGACCAGCCTGGCCAATGTGGTGAAACCCTGTCTCTACTGAAAATACAAAAACTAGCTGGGTATGGTGGCAGGCACCTGTAATCCCAGCTACTTGGGAGGCTGAGACAGGACAATAGATTGAACCCAGGAGGCAGAAGTTGCAGTGAACCATGATCGCACCACTGCACTCCTGCCTTGGGTGACAGAGTGAGACCCCATCTCAAAAAGAAAAAAAAAAAAAAGGAATCCGTGAAGTTTTGATTGCGATTACATCCTGAGCCCTCATCTGAATGGACTTAATGAAGTAAAGGCTTGCTCTTGTATCCTCATTGTTGTAAGCAGTTAGAGTGATTAAACAATCTCAAGGTTGTTACTTCAAAGTGTGTTTTGTGCTTGCTTAGCAAAGCTGAGACTGAAGTTAAGGATGTGATCCTTGAGCAGACTACAGTTTGGTTCTGTGCCAGAACCCTAAAGCATCATCTTTCCCTGAGCTCTAAGGCAGGGTTTGTTCTAGAGGTTCTGCGCAAGCCAGACACAGAACAAGGCAGCCCATGACTATCAGTAACACCAAAAGAAATCACTATTTCAGTGTTGTGTTGGTTACATCATTTCCTTACATTCTGTGCAGTTGTTAACAGTCCTATCATTGCTTTGCTGGGTGAGAATACTGTACTGTCTCCTTCAGATGTCTGTATAAATGCTTGTGCTTAGGTGGCGTGCTGCAGACACCCATGTCAGTTCTAAACATCTGGATTCCTGAGGTGCTGAGTTGTTGTCTGAGTTTGTGAATTTTATCATATTATGCCTTCTAATTTTTTAAAAATCTTTTTTCTTGTTTTCTGTGAAAGTTCAGAGATAAATGTATATGTCTTTCATATACATTGAACTCAGTAACAGTATAGTATATATTGGAAATTAAGGCGAATTTTTCTGTGTGGAAAATTAATTCTGCTAACCACAAGTCCTTGCTGTTTCTAGTTCCTTAAGAGTAAAACATGATTTTCTTAGCTCTTTTATTTTTGGGGGCAGTGTTTGTCTTTGGAAATGTAGCCTATGCCATAGATCATGGAACCCACAGGTGATGTTAAATATAGTTTTTTGGTTTTTTTTTTTTTTGAGATGGAGTCTCACTGTGTCACCCAGGCTGGAGTGTGGAGTGCAGTGGCACAATCTCAGCTCACTGCAATATCTGCCCCCTGGGTTCAAGCAATCCTGCCACAGCCTCTGGAGTAGCTGGAACTACAGGTATATACTACCACACCTGGCTAATTTTTATATTTTTAGTAGAGATGGGGTTTCACCATTCTGAATAGGCTGCTCTCGAACTCCCTACCTCAGGTTATCTGTCTGCCTCAGCCTCCCAAAGTGCTGGGATTACAGGTGTGAACCACTGTGGCCAGCTAAATATAGGTCTGATTATGATTGTTCCTTACGTTTTTATGTACTTGATGTTAAAGTCATTGTTCTGCAGCATTTTTCAACTGAGAGATGTTGACTCATTTGTATTATTATTATCATTATCATTATTATTATTTTGAGGCAGGGTCTTGCTCTTTTGCCCAGGCTGGAGCACAGTGGCATGATCTCAGCTCACTGCAGCCTCCACCTCCTGAGCTCAAGTGATCCTTCCACCTCAGTCTCCTGAGTAGTCATTTGTAAATATTTACACAGTGTAAATATTAAAACAGTGATCCTGCTTCTCCACTAAGGTCAGCTCCTTATAAAATCAGATGTTGGATACAAACTGGGTTAGATGTGGGCTGCATCTAGTTTATCAGTCATGTGTGTGACCAACATTCAGAGCAATCAAAATAAACTTTGATTTAAAAACTTAGCTGGCTGGGTATGGTGGCTCACGCCTGTAATCCCAGCACTTTGGGAGACCAAGGCGGGCAGATCACTTGAGGTCAGGAGTTCGTGACTAGTCTGGCCAGCATGGTGAAACCCAGTCTGTACTAAAAGTACAAAAATTAGCCTGTATTCCCAGCTACTTGGGAGGCTGAGGCAGGAGAATCGCTTGAAACCAGGAGGCGGAAGCTGCAGTGAGCCAAGATCACTCTACACTCCAGCCTGGGCAACAGAGTGAGACTCCCTCTCAAAAAAAAGGAAAAAAAATGCTAACTGAGACTTTCTGTATTTGTTGATCAATCTAATATTGCTAATACTGTGCAGGACTATTACCAAAAAGAACTAGACAGTAAATACATAGCTTTATTTTAAATTGGGAAATCTGTCCATTCAGAATTTTTTTGCCAAAACCTAGATGCATACCAAGAATAGTTGAATAGGAGGTGGGATTCGGGAATCCTTCTGTGATTTTTTGGTCTATTTTTTTCCAATCTGTAAAGGAAGAATATTTCTTCATCACTGAAGGAAAAATATTCCTGCAAGATTTGAAATAAAATAAGAACTGTTTTTATTACTTTTTTTTTGTGAGACAGAGTCTCACTCTGTCACCCAGGCTGTAGTGCAGTGGTGCGATCTCAGCTCACTGCAACCTCCACCTCCTAGGTTCAGGTGATTCTTCTGCCTTAGCCTCCCGAGTAGCTGGGACTACAGACTTGCACCACCACACCCTGCTAATTTTTGTATTTTTAGTAGAGACAGGGTTTCACCACGTTGGCGAGGCTGGTCTCAAACTCCTGACCTCAGGTGATCCACCTGCCTCGGCCTCCCAAAGTGCTGGGATTACAGGTGTGAACCACCATACTTGGCCTGTTTTTATTATTATTTATTGGAATAACTTGGTTAAGTATAGGCATTCATTCTTAACCCACTTAGAAAGCGGGTTTTATGGCCAGATGCGTTGGCCCATGTCTGTAATTCCAACACTTTGGGAGGCCGAGGTGGGCGGATCACCTGAGGTCAGGAGTTCGAGACCAGCCTGGCTAACATGGCGAAACCCAGTCTGTACTAAAAATTCAAAAATTAGCTGGGCATGGTGACGGTGTCTGTATTCCCAGCTACTGGGGAGGGTGAGGCAGGAGAATTGCTTGAACCCAGGAGGCAGAGTTTGCAGTGAGCCGAGATCGTGCCACTGCATTCCAGCCTGGGCAACAAGAGTGAGACTCCATCTCAAAAGTAAATACATAAGCAAGTAAGTAAGTAAAGTGAGTTTTCTGGACCGGGTGCAGTGACTCATGCCTGTAATCCCACTACTTTGGGAAGGTGAGAGAGGAGGGTTGCTTGAGCCCAGGAGTTTGAGAGCAGCCTGGACAATGTGGCAAAACCCCATCTTTACAAAAAATACAAAAATTAGCTGGATGTGGGGGGTGCACACACATGTAGTCCCAGCTACTCGGGAGGCCGAGGCAGGAGGATCACTTGAGTCTGGGAACAGGAGACCAAAAAGAAAAAAGGAAAAACAATTGCTTCTTTTGACATCTCTTTCTGTGTTAATATTGACCTTGTTTTTACTTACTTGCAGGTGATTTAGGATATTCAACCTTGCTTTTTGTCATTTTTCATGGTTACCCTTGTAGGAAAACATTCGGTAGTTGCCCCCAACATTATCTCAAGCTGATGATTTTAGAAAAATATGCAAGATTTTCTGAAGATTAATTTATTTTGACACCGCACTTTTCTAAATGTAACCTTTACCAAACATGCATACTCATAACATAAATTTGGGTGGACATTAAACTGCCCACATATACAAATCATATATTATTTTGCTCTCACTAGACTTAACATTTAAAAAGTAAACCTCGAGGGGAAGTAGACTTCACTTATTTCTGCGTTATTCTAAATTAACATTTAGTAGCATCAGTTATGCCATTTTGGGAAGCTTTATCAAGTCAACTATTGAGGAAATCCTGAGAACACTGTTGCTTAATCAGTATGCAAAGACTGAATGTGATATGAGGTGTTTTTATAAGCCATACTGGTCTAGAAGAATGTCCAATGAGGGTTTTGTGTGGTGCCATTTTGTCTTTTTCATGGCCTGGGCACCTCCCATAGTCCTCTTTGCTTTTTTTGGAATCAGGAGGAAAGTCATGAGAGAATTGAGCCTTGGAAATGAGGATTACGCCACTGCTAATGACAGCCTGTGTGGAATACACTCTTTGTTTATATTGGAGGCTCTCTCGTCAGGAAATGATTTACCTCCTTTTATAACCTTGGTCAGTTTTAATCAATGCATTGAAAACCAGATTTAATGTTAAGATCCTTTGGTCAAATGCAGATCTAAAATCTAAGA